CAGCGAAAAATAAAAAGACACAAGATTTATAGTGGTTCGGTCAAACACGACCTACATCCACTCCCCGGAGGCACCCTCCGAGTATTGCACTAATACCACTAATGACTCTCCTTTTGTAACATAATTTGTTATTGTAAATCATATACTACAATCACCTCATCATACTAAACAAATTGACTATGTTAAAGATTCGTCAACCTGCATGAAAGGATGATCTAAGTTGAAGATAATACTGTATAATGTTGATAGGACAGTATGATTTAACCAGTCTTCATACAGAAATTGATGGGATGATTTGACTTATATTATTCATACTATACAAACCCCCCTTCATACTATGCAATCAATCCAAAACTATAATAAGGGAGATCATTTTTCAATTCAAATAAGGAAGATCATTTTTCATCTAAAATCTTAGTCATTCATAATCTAAAACTTTTATGTCTATAAAACCTCAAATTTCTCAGTACTACACCTAGAGATTTTAGATGGATAGCAAGAGTGGAAGAATGGTCTCAAGCTCCCAACTCCAAAGAGACACTAAATTCATGAGTGACAAGGATGTGAAAGCTTATCGATGTTTCCCAAGAAGCATCCATTATAGACTTAAAAGTTTTAGATTAAGAACGATTAAGATTTTAGGTACTTGATCTAATTATCTCTACCACCCTTCATATTGATATCTCCCATGATTTTCCCTACCACATAGAACTCTAGCTTGAATTATTTGCAAACCTTAGAATCACTAGCGATAGGTTATCTATGCAATCTATGATTTTTTATCCCCAAGTAGCAATCACCGAGCAAAATATCCATGGCTACCTCCGCAATTTCAATATTGGTACCGAACCTCTTGATATCTCTATAAATCTTCACTAAACTTGTCTAATGTTAATAGGACACTTAGAAACTCTTCATTGCCCCAACACCAACCTTTATTCAACCCAATGGTGTTAAATGAACATGTTATCCAACAAGTACTTTGACATACTATCATTCCCAAAGTTGGTGACATAATCAATATTACCCCTCTCCTTTCAATTGTGACTTTCTTCTGCATGGCTAGAATTGGATTTAATGTCGCAAATATAATTCGGTATATAGTGAATCTTTCTCTAGGCCATATTACTTCTTATGTATTAGAGTGCCAATTACAATCTCACTTTCCCCTCACTACCTGATCATGAACTATCCTACTCCAACAACTCATTCAACCTAATCTATAATGAGAAAGCTTTGAGCTTTATTCATGTAACTTATATGAAGTTTTTTCCCTTGTATTTAATCATAAGACTATTCAAGATTATTGAAAAAAAAAAAACTAATCTATAATGAGAGGCATAGAAAGGTAAATTTAAGAAAGGAACAGGAAAAGGAAGATGGGGGAGCCCCACTAGTCTAGCCACCACCAACATATCAATATCAGTATCCATAGGATGCCTAGACGAACCACTTTGCTCATCTTGAGCTTAAAGTGGATCAGCACATTGAGTAAAGCAATAAAGAATGGGAGGATCTAAACCGGCCACCACACTAAGAGAATCAAAAGTGATTCCAGGGGTAATTGTCACTCTCTCAAAGTTATTCTCAGCCACCTCCATTACCAACTGATAAGGGGCCCTTTTAATATTAGTTTATTTTTTGTGTTTAGTTAGTTTTTTATCTACTTGTATTTTTTTTTCCTTTTAGTACCTCCTCTTTTTTGTGATATCAAAAGGGAGAGCAAAGTTTGGTTGGTTGTATTAGCTTTTATTAATGAAAATTATTTTATGCTGTGTTAGTATTTTTTGCAATTTTTTTCTCATGAATTACAAAAAAAATATTTCATAAATTTTTCTCCAATTAAATTTTTTGGAGAACCCATTTATAGGGAGGAAAACTATTTAAAAATATTAAGGATTTTTTTTACACAACAATAAAAAATATTTTATATCATAAAAAAAGGAGAAGATTATTAAATCCAATAAGCCTAACGTACATGAGGGATTTAATGATTATAAATATTGTGGGATATACTATCTACTAATCAAGCGGTGCGTGCATAAATTTTTTTTCAAAATAATTATAGGAAGCACATAACTGGCAAATTCAAGCCAAAGGACTTGCTATGGCTAAAAGGTTAAAAGCAATGAGAATCCATTGGCACTATGAAGAGCAAGAAGCAGAATATGTGTGCCAATTTGTAATTGTAATCTTTTCTTTTTCTTGTCTTTTGTATGTTTACGCGTAAAGTTAGTTAAATAGTCTCACACAAACATATAAGGGATATCATAAAACTAAATAAAGTTAATTAAAGCAATTGATTTTCTGAGTTGACCATACAGTATAATTTTCTTCGTACTATATGCTATGAGTGGCAATTTAGCTAATTTTGAAAATTAGGTGGGATAAATTAACTTGAAATTGGAATTAAGAATTTGAATAACTAATTGTACATTACGATGCACATTATATTAGACGATCAACTAATCAAATTCAAACTGTTAAATCCTGAAATTTTCAAAAATAGGTGAATTCTAAATTTAAAGTATTTGTACATGATGAACATATTTGCACAGTACGAAATATTAACACCATATATAAGAAATTGCCGATTTTGAAACTTGAAATCAAGGGTACAAATCAAAGTTAATTTTATATTGTACAATCTCAATCGTACATTAAGAATAAACAGAAAGCAGTCTGGATGAAATCTAGTCGGACAAGCTGATCCAATGCTCCAAGTCGCCATCCTTATGATCGTACTGTACAATCTGGTCTAAACAATCAAAGAGCCTGTTTGGACAAACTTCATTCAGACAGGATAATATAGTTATATAAGTTTACAAGATTGTTAAAATTGTACTGTACAACCTTAGCACAGACTGTATGATATGGCCGGCAAATTAACTATATCAAGAATTTTAGGATTTGAATAGGAGCTTCAAATAAATGCCCTTTTATGTTCTTTGAACAACAAAAGAGGAATGTCTTAGGCTTGTTTGGGAGAGACCAAGGGAGTTGTGAGAGAGCTTTTGAGAGAGACTTGCTATTATGTGAGGGAAAGAAGATGAGAGATTTAGTAGTGTTTGTGAGGGATCTCTTGAAAAGGTGTTCAATAAATCAGGTTCCACAAAGCTTATTCTTCCTACTCTATCTTCTTATTCCCTTGATTGTGATAGAATAACCACTCTTGGGTGCAAGAGCTAATGAGAGTGTTTCTAGCAGGAGGCTAGTGGTGAGGAAACTTTATTGTTTTGAGTGTAGGAGGGTGTCTTCTGAGAAAGAGAAGAGTGTAAGTGTTTTCCAGTCCATGTGAAGGAGAGGCTTCGCCACCTTGCTAGGAGCAAATGAGTAGTTAGTGAAATTCATGAGTTTACATAGATCAGGTTGATCAAATCACTAAAAATTTTGATTTGCTTCTTTTTTCTTGGTTTTGTTTATTGCATATTTTTGTTTGATGCTTTCATAAATTATTATTATTTGTTATTTTGAAGAAAAAATTCATCATAAAATAAATTGTAAGATATATATTACTCTTCAACCATTTTGAAAAATAATTTAAAATTAATATGCTAAATTTGCTAAGTAATTTTTATTTCCGATGCAATTTATTTTCAACAATCTAAAAAAGATTTTTTTTAATAAGTCAATTCACTTATATATTGGCAAGAATGATGCACCTTCGAAAGCCATGTAGGCACATTGGACGAGTTAGATATAATTTGCTAAAATGCAGAGACGTTTTAGAGGTCAAAAGCCATTTAGGAATCCACAACCCTCTTGATGAGGATTTACGTTGGCCTCCAAGTCCTCAACAACATTTAAGGCTCACTTCCTGAATATGATCACGGTCAATACTAGCAACACCATTAGTTTTTTTCAATATTGATATCATTATGGAGCTCCATTTCACTTAAAATCTTCTCTTCTACGACATTAGTAAAATCATCATAAATGCAAAAAATTTAATTGTAAATATTTTTTAATTTTTAATTGTAAATATTGCATTCAAATTTTTGTATTGGTGATTGAATGTATTCCACTATATTTGGATTCTAGTTCAAAGTCAATCATAAATGCAAAACTTTTAATTGTAAATATTTTTAATTTTTGTATTTAATTTAATAATTTAATTGCATCATGAATTATACTTTATTCAATAAGATAAAATTCAATCTCATAGGCCACATCCATTTTTGCATGTATTTTACATTGTATTTTAAAAAACATCAAATCAAACAACCCTCAGCAAATCCATTTCTTTTAAAATAAAAGATGTTCTACAAAAAAATTTATTTAATCAATCTGCCCAATTGGATAATACCTTAGTATTAAGTCACTCAGATTGTGTTAAAGTTTTAGAATCATACATAAATTAATTGTCTAATTACATTATAAATAATTGTTTGTTTACACCGTCTAGTTTATTTATTCATTTACCCACATAGATTGATTCATACTTGTAAAAAATATTAAGCTACAATTTTAATTAAAAACTAGAAGGAAAGATAAAATTCAAATTTACATGAAATTCTTTTGATTTTTCCTATTAAAAATTAATGATTAGAAAAAAAAATTTAGGATCAATAAAATAGTGCAAATTTCAACAAGCAGGGAGTTCAAATAACCATTTGATGCACGGAATTGCGAAAGTTTCAACAGCCTTGAACATAAAGCATGAATGATACCAATTGATGCAAGTTTCAGCAAGGGATGTTGAACATGTAACCTGCTTATAAAGATCGAATATATATGCAAGTCTGAAGCAAAGCTGCATCTGGCAGTAGGATTAGTGTGAATACCTTATTGCTAGAACACCAAATTAAAAAATTTTGCATAGTGAACAGTTAGGGGAATGAGATATGAACAGCAGATAGACCTTAGACAAATATAATTAGGAAAATCACAGCTACAGCAGGTTCTAATGGGCTATGGACAGCAAATTCAATGCAGTTGATGCAAATTCAGTAAATATGCACTTGGAAGACAAACGACAATAAACAACGGCAGCATGGACAAAAGGGCAACCATTTAACTAAATTGACTAAACCTTGAAGATCGTAGCGATTAAATACACTGACAGATATAACACAAAAATGTATAGAGCTTTTAAAAGTTAAATACAACCTCTAACTCATCTAATTAATTACAATCAAACTTTAATATCCAAAACTTAAATGATAGATATAACACAAATAGTTTACATATCTCATGACAATAAACTTTGAGATTGGCATTGTATGCTCACTGGTTCTTGAGTAGAATTAAATGTTGTCTGCTTCAGTATATAGAGGAGTTCTGCACATGGCCCAACTTTGAAAAGATACAACATTAAACTATACAAACTGCCGTTGCAGCTTCAGTGGAAGCTTCATGAAATGGGTTTCCTCCTCGAGAAAGAAAGGGGAAAAAAATACTCATCCAAGTGAATTTATATTTCCTATAAATAATTCTTTTGTTTTCCTTAACTATCATACAGTATGTCAGCACCATGATCTACGTACGCCTTTAGAACCATCAACATTCCGATTTTACAGTGTAAAAATTACAGTGCCTGAATGCAACGACTCTTTATGAAAAAAAAACGAAAATTACACCATCTCTAAAATTTTGATGTTTCCGTTTGAATTTGTTGCGATTAGATCAGTAGATTGGCCACGCCAGCACACACAGGAGATGAACTGATTGGCATCATCAGCTTCAAAGCCAGACATAAGATCAATGCTGCCAAATTTGTATGACAAAACAGGCATGGGGAAAGCTTTCTGGTATACGAAAACCTGGTTCATGAGGTAAAGCAAGATGCTGAGAATGTGACTGGGATCTTAATTATCATATGATGAATCAATATGATGTGTAGAGAGAGATGTACTAACTTTGAATACGTGCTAATGCTATCACTTTCTGGCTATTCCAACAATCATGTTGGGTGGTCAAGAAACTAATGTCAGAATCTTTTATGGTATGTGGGTGCAGAGAAGGCCGGAATTGATCTTCTCGATTGGAATATGGTTATTAATTAAAGAAATGGGCTGCTTGCGGGTTGATAATATGAAGGAGATCAATTTTGGCTTGGTTAGAAAAATGGCTATAAAAATATCTGAAGCTGAGCATATTAAGCTTTATGTTAAAGAAACATACATAAGCTATAAAACTACTAGAAAATATTTGGACGCTGAAAGTTATTAAAAGATAGCTCCTGACTAAGTTATCAAAAGAGCTTGTGACCTTGTAAGATTAGAACATATGATTTACTATTTTTTTGGGACTTACCTAGATCAAATTTTGAATTTGCTTAGCCATAGCACTATTTTTTTATAAATAAAAATAAGCAAATATGACTTTTCAGTATCTTATTATTGAATTAATAACTATCCTAGTAGTCCTACTATTCTCTCCTAAGTGGGATTCCCAAGGGTCCTGTCCAAGAAATAATTGTATATTAATACAAGTATTTTTAGAATATTTTAGGATTTATTTGAATTTTACTTCATTTAATTAGAATTTGTGGATTTATTAGATATATTTTATCTTAAAAGTATGAATTATCCTTTTAGATAATTGTAGTTTTAAATTTAAATTATTCGTTATTATTAGAATTTCAAAAGGAATAGATTTTCTTTCAAAATTATATGATCTTGTCTAGCAATCATAAATTTATAAATAAAGTTATAACTTTTGGCTAGGATTAGAATGAATTGTCATTTTTTATTGTGTTTGGATTATTTTTGAATAAATTGAAATCAAAGACCTCTCCTATTCTTTCTTCTAAACCGTAGACTATGAGTTCTCTCCTATCACTCGTCTTTAATCCTTTTCTCCATGCCAGTTTACTCTCCTCACCAGCTTTCTCTCCTCTCACTCCACTTTCCATTTAGAAATCTTGATTGCCACTATTGAATGGAGGAGATGCATCTTGACCATAAGAGATAGTTATCACCATTAAATTTATTGATGCTACCAATGATGGAGGTATTCATCTTACTAGGAGAAGAGAGTAGCAAACCATTACACTATGAGCAGAGAAATATGAAGAATCAAAGAGAAACTCAATTAATGTAGAAAGATAAGAGCCTCAACAACTTCTGTAGTGTGGGTGAATTGCAAGATTAAGTGTGGATACTAGCAAGGGCATGCCTCAAGGGTGCAGTGACCAGGAACAAGCTTGTTTGTGCCCACACGCGAGAAAACGAGCCAACCAACGATGAAGAACGATAATAAGAAGCACTCGTGAGGGGCGGCCATAGTGCATGGGAGATTGTCGGTAAAAAACGAGGGCTGGAACAATTAGCATGCAGGAATGGAAGCACATACACATGCGAGAAGCGACATAAAATGAATCAAATGCAAGCAAGAGGTTACAAAACCAAGGTAAATATCGTGTGTTTGCGAGTATTGTGACTGAGTGATTGCAACCAAGAGGATACTTGGAGTCGAGTGATAATGATATTTTTGTGAAGAGAAACATCTAAAGAGAAGGGGCATTATATTTTATGTTATAAATTGAGAATAGGTGCCTATAAATAGGAAAATAAGAGAATAAATAAGTAGAAGATTATTCATATTTATAGTAATATAAATAGCTATAGCCCTAATAAGGTATTACCTAATAGTATTTTCTTAATGTACCAACATCATGATTTGTGTGACTTATTTGAAACTATTCAAAGCAACAACTTCAACAAGTCTTATGTCATGATCTTCCAAGCGGAATTGATTCTAATCTGCATGTCGTGGAATATTGTTACAATTACATTCTAACATCAGTCATGCCTAATCTTTCTTCTCTCACGCCTTTATGTTAACCTCTGTATAGAAGAAAAAAAAAGAGAAAATCCCGCATACATACATCTTACCCGTCGGATCCAAGGATTATGCCGCAAATCGCACCGATTCAGCGCTGTTTGCGTCGCTTCTCCGCATATCCTGCTCAAAATCCGCGATCTCACCTCGACCATGCTCCTTCTTCACGTCTATAAAACGAAGAGGGAGAGACTTCTCTTCGGCTGCTCTTCCACACACACGACTCTCTCCCCAGTCGCTATTCCCTTCTCCTTCCCACTCGTGAAAGCTTCATCCCCCAGCAGCCCCAATTCCCTGCCCTAGACGACGCTTCTTCGGCGGCATTCCCTTCATGTGGTCCGAAAGTTATAACATTTTGATCGGAAGGAAGGAGCCCGCACAGTGAAGGTAACTTTGTCCCTCTCGTGAGCTTCTTTGGCCAAATCCCGCTAATCCACCGAGCTTAAAAGAGGGAAAGTGAGGATTTGTCTTAGCCGTGGGGGTTAACAGGATTTAGCCTAAAATCATGCTCAAAATCAATATAAATCCTGTTAAACTAGCTCTTTTTTATTTATTATTAAAATTAGTTTTATCTTAATTATAATTAATTAATAATAATAATTAATTATGTCTAATTATAATTAATTATAATTAAATATTATAATCATATTTAATTATTATTAATAATAATTAGTTCCAATTAAAATAAATTATGATTAATTTATTATAATTATGGTTAATTATTATCATTAATAATTAACAATAATTTATTAAAATTATTATCAATTATAATTAATTATGATTAATTATTATAATTATAATTAATCATTTTTATATTATAACTAATTATTATTTATGTATTTAATTATAATTAATTAATTAATTATAATAATAAAAAGAGAAAGAAAAGAAGCATGCAAGGATGCTTCTCTTCTTTCACCTCGATCCACGTGCTACCAACACCATCTCTCCGGATGAAAGGTATAACCCCCTTTGAACTTTAAACTCGAGAGCTTGTTTTCGTTGTTTGCGGCGGACCGGAAAATCACCTATACACACTTTTATTGCGCGTGGTGGGATGGGACCCCGGTGCGGCGCCTTCGACGAGGCGGGCAATCACCTAAGCCCTACTTCAATGTTCGTGGCGAATCGAAAAACCGCCTATACACCCCTTTATTGCGCGTGGTGGGATGGGTCCCCGGTGCAACACCTACGACGAGATGGGGTTATTCATAAGTACCCCCGAGCGAGGGAAAAGCAAACTGTCTTTTTAAATAGGTACCGTCAAAGACCCCATACACGCCTTTATTGCGCGTGGTGGGAAGAAAGATCACGGCCGCGGTGTCCTCGTCTGAGGACACCTACCATACACGCCTTTATTGTGAGTGGTGGGAAGGCCCAGTTTCTCGTAGTTTTCCTCTAAACGGGGGAGACGCCTGGAGGCTGCCGAAATTTCGGATGAAAATATGACTGTACTCGGACCTGTTTGAACTCAAAAAGGACATGCAAGAACTATAATGAACAAAGATCCGGACTTGAACTTGGTTGAACCAAATTGACTTAAGTGGACTCAAACTCAAATGAATTAAGTATTGTGGACCAATGTTTAAAATTGCGTATTCGGGTATTGAGGCGTTTTTCATTCGTGAGGCGAGGCGTAAGCCTCAAGGCGTTTTGAGGCGTAAGCCTCAAAATCAAAAGATTGCGTAAACATAAAATGTTAAATTTTTTATATACTAATGAGTGAATAATATAAAACATAAAAAAGCATAAGATATTAAGTGAAGTCAAAATATCTTAATAATAAGACAACATGAAATATAGTTCAACTCAAAATTCTCTCTTTCTCAAATCCCAGAATTCTTTTCATTAACATATAATTCCAATTTCTAAAAATAAATAGCAATGACATATCACATAAGAACTCATAAATCATCAGCACTGTCATCACTAAGGGGTTCTTCATTTGAATCATCATTATGATGAACCGCTCTCTCCCCTTCCTCCTCTCCTATAGAGTCCAATGTCGGGCATTTACTTCAAGATTTATGTAAGTTTTAATATATATAGCATGAGGCGTAAGCCTCATGCCAGTGAGGCGAGGCGGGCCTTAAGGCGGGCCTCAACCAAGTTGAGGCGCAAGCCTCATAACAAAAACTCGAGGCGTAAGCATCGAGGCATTTTTTACTAGAATTGCGCAAAGGCGGACCTCAAGGCGAGCCTCATATTGCGCAATTTTAAACCATGTTGTGGACATAAACTCAACTTGAACTCAAACTTGGACTCCACAAGATCACAGGGGACTCGAATGAAGGGAAGAGGCTCATCTTAAGCCTGAACTGTACTTGGACTCGAACTTGTGAACCTTTGAGCAGAATTTGAACTTGACTAAATCATATGCAAGGGAACTCAAGCTCAAATGAACTAAATGCAAAAGAACTACAAGCTTAACTTTCTTACTAGCATCAACAAATAATTATAAGCAATGACCTATGGTGAATAGAATCCTTATATCTCACTCATAAGAGCAAATGATATGAACTTGATGAGCAAAGACATTTACAATGGGGATATTCATAAAAGATTTACATATGAATATAGTGAAGTCTCCATTATCAACAACAATTCAATATACAAGCAAAGGAACAAACAAGGGTAACACATCGGCAAAGTATACAAGCTCCTACAAGTTAATATATAAGACTCTTCATTCATACAATGATCTTATCTACAATTAGTGTTGGTGAATACAACCCCAGTGTGACGGATTTTCTACATGAATGAGATAGAAGATTGTAGCGGATGTGAACTCTTACTAGCAATGATGGAAGATGTGTCATATGCATAGTAATATTCATAAGCAGGGGTGATGAGTAATTATCAGATAAATGCACTTAACCTCAACAAACCATAGCAATTAATATGCAACATGAGATGTTCACAAGCATAACACATCATCTACAATAATTCAACATAGGTCAAATACACTGGTTCTCTA